CCTTATTTAATTTTCAATGCGGTTATCTCTCAAATAATTATAAATAGAACATTTTAAAAGAAAATGTAGTTCCTCGCAATGTTTCCAAAACTTCCCAGGCATGTTATCACCTTCATTTCCGATACACTTATACTTATAAACTGTGAATTGGAAATTTACGGAACAGTTTCAATTAACAAATGAAAGTGAGGTATTGTCACACTCTGCAATTACACGAAATGCACCAGTAAAACTTATCTCGGTATAATTGTCTAAAATCTTAATTGCGTCTTTATTTCACCACTGTTTCTCGCATGGAATATTCCTCCCATTTTTGTGTTTAAGATTTAAAAACATATTTAATATTTCGATTATTTTCCCTTATATCTCACAATAGCTTTTACAGTATCTTTATACGTGCTTCGACCAAACTGATCTATAAATGCCATCTATATATATTTTGCTGTTTTATTTATGAACCATAACTCGTTTTATTCTTCTTTATAGTGTGACTTCTTTAGAAAGGATAAAAATCCAGGTTTAATAAATGATCATCAAAGAGCCGTACAAAGCAATTAAGATTATTACAGTTAAAGTCCTCAAGAATTCAAACATCCCTGGCTTTTAATATTTTGGAAATGAGCGTAACCGATGACGATAAATACCGAAAAGCGCTTCGAACGCCCAAAATTTATAGTTTTATTCTCATTTAACAGACGAAGACGGATGTTTTAACTATCTTGACTGACTATTAAGCCCTCGCACGGTCGGTAAAATTCATTTTACAGAGAGTAGTATCAGAGACATATAATACAAAAATGTATTTTATGTCTCTGGTAAATTGTCATCTGTTCTGGTTGAAAGACAAAGTTGTATATTGCATTTACGTCATTATATTATAAATGCAAACACACGCAAAATTGAGTAACAATTAATTCAGTAGCACAATAATGTTGTAGCACAAATCAACTGATAAACAAACATTTTCCATCAAAGTACAAAACACTTGAATACAGCAGTTTGTGTAACAGAATTTTTTTTCTCCGTTTTTAACTATCACCCCCTCGTTTTGCAGACCTTCAATAAATCTTATCAAAATACTGATACATTGCGAAGCAAGGAGACACTGTCTGTTTTTCAATCAGTCAGTGTGTTTGTGTGTGGTTATAGCTATAGCAAGCTAACATGTATGTGTATATAACAGTCATCCTTTTTTTATAATTTCACTTATGAAAACAATCTTTAAAAAGCAAATATAAAATTTCCATCAAATGTATTTTTATCATTTCATTTTCAAAACTTGTTTATTAAAAACATTTGACCAAAACGACTAGAAATACTGGAAAAATAAACATTGGTCACGTATGACATATCAAAAAATATAAAACAAGCCGAGAAAAACATGTTTACGGTAATAAACATTACTTTGGTGATATAAAAGAAAATTCAATTGCGAATTTCAATTTTAGAAATACTTTTTTGGTAACCAAATGATGTTTTCTTTAATTTTGATGTTAACTTTGATTATACAGTTGTATGTCTTGAATGCATTTTTTATGCGCCTAGAAGTCCCGAGCGGCGTTTAGAAGTTCTACGGTGTAACTTTAATTTATCATTAATTTATTTGAAGTGATCAAAACGCTCTAATGAGAATCTTGATGGTGTCCTTCTTTTCTGTCAGAGGAAAGACGATGGTGAGTATAAGGAATTCACAGTCGAAGCCTGACTGTTATAACCTCTAATGTAATACACACAGTATGGTTTTATAGTCATTGGAGACACACGTTTACTAAGAGGAAGCCGTAAAATAATTATATATTGACCAAACATTCTGCATATTATTGTATAATAATATCAAAATTTATTTCCAAGTATAATTAGTTTTGATTAAATTCGTTTCAGGAATTCATATGTGTATTACTTAACAAAAACCAGATTATTATAGAAATAAAGCTTAGTTATATATATCATTTATATAGCACACCTTTACGAATTAATTATTTAATTCATGAAAAGCGTAGCTTTGAGAGGATTAAATATATTAATGAGTTAGGCGTGGCTATATATGATTTGTAACATTAATGGGATATGACACATGTCAAAGATTAAATCCTGTCCAATAAAACTTTACTGCACTTTTCTATATGTCAATGAAATAGTGGCGTGATACTATATCTGATCACATGCAGCAGATTTGTATGTCCGATAAAGGTACGTTTCAAAGTAAAAGAATTGTTGCCGTGGGATTCATACTCGATAGTATCATTTATGTGTCATTGAATATTTTTTCTTTTCGAAAATTATTGAAAAAGGGTGTGTGGTTCGGAGCTGAGACTACTATAACATTTATAGTTATAGTAGTCTCAGTTGGGAGAGAAATGTGGGGGAGGATGGGAGGGCGGGATAATGCAAAACTTTATTCGATTTTTATTTGCCCTCACATCCGAAAAAAGACGTGTAGTGTCAAAGAACGTTGTGATAAAAAGGAGACATTTCTCATACCAATTATGAAGGTAATAAATAATCTTTTTTTCATTCCCAAGAACTGGGAAAAGATAGTTTTATAACAATAATTTGGATGATATACAATTTTTTACCTTTTTTTTTATGGGGAGGGGTGGGGGGTCTCGACCCTTATATTCTTTTTTAACAAAAATAGATTTTAGGGTCTGAGCTTATACTATTTCTAAGCATTCAAATATATATGGAAGGTAAGGTAATTTCTCCTGACGATATATAAATATTTCAAACTTCTCAAATAGCTTCAATAAGAATAAACAAAACTAAAACCTTATTAAAGAAGGTGAGCCTAAAAATAATTGTTTGAAATATTTTGATATTTCACAGAATGCAACTTTTTGTGTGTGTTTATAGCTATAGCAAGCTAACATGTATGTGTATATAACAGTCATCCTTTTATTATAATTTCACTTCTGAAAACAATCTTTAAAAAGCAAATATAAATTTCCATCAAATGTATTTTTATCATTTCATTTTCAAAACTTGTTTATTAAAAACATTTGACCAAAACGACTAGAAATACTGGAAAACTAAACATTGGTCACGTATGACATATCAAAACATATAACACAGGCCGAGAAAAACATGTTTACGGTAATAAACATTACTTTGGTGATATAAAAGAAAATTCAATTGCGAATTTCAATTTTAGAAATACTTTTTTGGTACCCAAATGATGTTTTCTTTAATTTTGATGTTAACTTTGATTATACAGTTGTATATCTTGAATGCATTTTTTATGCGCCTAGAAGTCCCGAGCGGTGTTTAGAAGTTCTACGGTGTAACTTTAATTTATCATTAATTTATTTGAAGTGATCAAAACGCTCTAATGAGAATCTTGATGGTGTCCTTCTTTTCTGTCAGAGGAAAGCAATCAACTAAAAACGGAACGTCATCATGTAAAAACTTTAAAAATAGAAATAAGGTGAAAATTAACCAGTAAAAGTAATAGGAATACAAAAAACATCATAATATTTAAAATAAAAATGATTATCTTTTTGGTGTATTAAAGGGGCATTAGCTGGCAAATTCATATTCACCGATTTGACTCAGATTCTCATATTTGATTTATAACATACTAAAACGTATATTTAAATTACAAGTCTGAAATAAACAGTTAACAATGCATGTACTCGATAAATTATATCAGAATTTCGTGTGTATTTTTGTCTAGACGCCATCTAATGAACTATCGAGATGACCTCCGACGGTAAATGTTACACCACTGTCCCAGGTTAGGGGTATGGTTGGGATCCCGCTAATATGTTTAACCACGCCAAATTCTGTATGTACAGTATGTTCCTGTCCCAAATCAGGAGCATGTAGTTCAGTGGTTGTCGTTTGTTGCTGTGTTACATATTTGTTCTTCGTTTATTTTTTTTCTAATTAATTGTACATTAATTAGGCCGTTTTTTTTCTCGTTTGAATTGTTTTACATTTGTCATTAAGGGGCCTTTTATATCTGACTATGCAGTAGGGCTTTGCTCATTGTTGAAGGCCGTACAGTGATCTTTAGTTATAAATGTCTGTGTCATTTGGTCTCTTATGTAAAAATTAGTTGTCTCATTTGTAATCATATACCACATTTTCTTTTTTATATTATACATAACCCAATATAAACATGAACATAAATATAAACAGATAGCGACCTCGTGGTTTTGTTTTTTTTTCTAGGTCTGTTTGATTTCATGTTATAGGTAAAACATAAGTTAATTATCGTTTTTACCTGTATAAAAATGATTTTTTGTAGATCGAATCCGTCAACGAAATGGTTCACCTTTGTTTCACTTTCAATGTTGACATTGTTTTCCTTTTAATGGCTGAACACGATTAATACATGCGCAACCAATTTCTAGCTAATGGGATAAATTGAAGGTCACAGGAATACGGATTTAATGAGGTCGCACATCACTTGCATGTGAATAATTTATCACCGATGTTTCTTTGCTTATTTTGACAAAATTGAACCAAATTTGCTGCTAAAAGCGAATCATTATTTCACTTTTATTAATGATCGATTCAAACAAAATTATTCTATTTTTTTCATATCTCGTAGCTAATGCCCCTTTTGAAGATTCCGTATTCAAGCCATCAGAAAAGCCCATGCTTTTTTGTTTATGTACCTCCATAAGCTGTTAATATTTAAATGATATACTATGACTTAGTTATAATTTCCAGCTGATAAATTATGTATTGTGCAGTCAAGCAAGGTTGACCATAGTATTAAAATTGGCTGTGTATGCTGGTTTCACGTTCAAGTATCACTACTTGTATATATATTACTGAATATTTTTTTTTTCGGAGGGAGGTTGGTGTGTTTGAGCGTTTGGTTTTAGGTGTTTGGTGTTTGTTTTTAATCATTTTGTATCATTGCTTTTTTGTTAGGAATGGAATCGATGTTTGCTTAGCTTTTTAAATATACATGTACGTGGTTTTTTTTTATTGTCTTTTATGGTAAGGGAAGAAGTTTTTCCTTGCTGAGCTATATGTATATACATTACCTTTCCCTTTATCTGACCAGTTATCTGTTACCGTACTCTCTCTTGTTTGATTACATTTGGGTTTATTTCTGGGAGACTCTACAGAAATATGAAAAAAAACATGACAAATATGTAATGACATTTACTTCATGTGGGGTCGAAGGAAATCGTTGATCAATAATGAACGTATTACCCGATCAGATTGATAAAGAATGGCAAGCAAATATATCATGGTTAAATTTAAAGTATTTTACAGACATATGTATACATGCAATACTTTGTCAAATTGTTAAAATGGCCACAACAGATACATTTAACACAATTAATTTGTTTTAATGTTTTTTATGATTTCCGCCAAAAAAAAAACCTGTTTTCTTTTAAATTCAACACGCGAGGCTCGTCAAGTTATTTATTTTGTGACATCATAAAAGGAAATGCAATGGAAAGCAAGACAATTGGATGTCATAATTGATTTGACCGAAGAATAACTGAGATCAAACTAACCATATGTTGATTAGATAAAAAGAACAATTGGAAAGGACAGGGCTTAATATAGACCCTACTACTGCATCAAGTGTAATACGACATTTCTCTATTCAAGACAGTTAAATTTCAAATTTAAAGCGCAAGACTCGTCGATTTATATATTTCGTGACATCACAAAAGAAAATGTCGAGGAAAGCAAGACACTTCGACGTCATTATTGAACTTTGACCAATGAATAAACCGAAATCAAACAAATCAAATGTTGATTAAATAAAGATAATCAATTGGTAAGAACAGGGATGATTCGGCTAAGAATTATTGAATTATTTCATTGTACTATATCGAAAGATTGAAATAGTTTTCGAATGGTCTGTGTTTGCCCTGTTTTGTTTTGATCATCTCAAATGAGACTTTTGATCAATCTAGCAGGTGAAGTTGCATTCATTAAGATTTTAGTGTTTAACCAGCATTGGTATTCAGGCTATAAATGGAAAAATCATTATGAATGGCCACAACTGATACATACAACCAAATTTATATTTTTGCCATATTTTGGGTTTATTTCATCGAAAAAAAAAATCAGTCATCTTTATGAAAAATTGTGAAAAACGCTTTTTGGATGAAATAAATGTAGGAGAAATAAAACTTCTTCATCTTCACGCTTTAAACGTTATATAAAGGCTAGAAGAAGTACAAACAAAAACTGTCATAGGAATTTAAACAACTTTAAGGCAAAAGGAATGATAAAAGTTAACCTCTCAGAAATCAAATGCATTTCAAAGTGTATCCTCTATTTACTGGTATTATTCAAATAAATCACTTTCTTTTAGTTTTTGCTGAAAAAATTATGTTTTTTTTTTCTATCTATTTTTTTTTTACCATAGTATTAAAATTTTCTGTGTATACATTGTTGGCTGTATTCATCTCCTTTTACAGAACCTATTTGATGAAGGTTCAATATTCATAACAATTAGAATGAGAGAACTATAGGTTATAAATTGCCTCTTGGGTTGCCGATATGAACAGAAACAGTAAAATTTAAAAAAAAAACACATTAGTGTTTAGTGTTTGTTGTTTTATTATATTGGGGTTTTTTTTTGGACTGGGAATATAGTCTTTGCTTACTTTTGTGATAGATTGGAATTTTGTATATTTTCAATTGTAAATCTATATGAATTAATCATGTGACTTAAATTGATATTTTGTTGATTAAAAAAAGTAAAATAACAAAAATACCGAACTCCAAACAGGAGAATTCAAAACGAAATGTCCTTTATAACGTGGCAAAATCAAAAGCTCAAACATATCTAACGAATAGAATACAACTGTCATATTCCTGATTTGGTACAGACATTTCCTTATGTAGAAAATGATGAATTAAACCTGGTTTTATAGCTAGCTAGAACTGTCACTTGTATGACAGTCGCATAAACATCCATTATATTGACAACAATGTTTGAGCAAAACAAACAGATATAAAAGGTAAAAACGTCAAAAATTGGGGTACAGCAGTAATCATTATAATATGTATAGTCTTAATCACTATTAAAACAAATAACGGTTTTATCAAAGAAACACAAAAACAAATAACGGTTTTAACAAAGAAACACAAAAACAAATAACGGTTTTAACAAAGAAACACAAAATGGCATTAAGACAAAGTACATTAGCAAAACCGAAAGACAAGAACTAAAAATTTACCATAACACAATAACACAAAGGAGGGATGTATAAGTACCGATCCACATCATAAGTATATATAATCAAAAATGGATAAACAGTATAGGTTACAAATACACAAGGACAAACAAGGGGAATTTAAACACGTAATAAAGTTGATAAACAACGTCAGTTCTTAGAATCTGAACTTCCAGACCATCAAGTATTATTTGTGAAGTTGATACGGAATATTTATCAACAAGGTCTTGGTATCTTCATATGAACTTTTTTAGAAGCAGGACAAGAAGTTCTTTGACATAACCTTGGCCCATCGACTTTCTGCTCAGATACTGATGACGTTTTATAAAGTCTGAGTATAGCTGCAAGCTCTTGAATATCGAATGGGTTTGGAAATATTTATCCCATATGCAGGTGAAGTTGGTGTATTACTGCTAGTGTGGGGAAAATTTATAATTTCAAAGTTAAAATCTCGATTGTCATAGAAATTGGTATTGAGATGATTACTTATGTCAAATTTGAGGTATAAGTCTAAAAATGAGGCGGAGGAAGCCGTGTCTGTTGTTTCGTTAATTTCTAGTTCTAGAGGATATACTAATGGAACAAAATCAGAAAAAAAGTTTGGATTGTTAATGGAATGAATTGGGCTTCTTTGATTTTCTTGTTTTTGACAAGTGTCTGAAGGAACTCCGACTCATATGAAATCAAGACGAGATCAGCAAGGAAAGGCGCACACTTGGTTTCCATAGGCAGGCCGACAACTTGATGAAAACGTCTACCTCCAAATTCAACAAATATGTTGTCAATGAGAAACTTCAACATATTAATCACTAGTTCCTCTGTGTATCATGTTTTACCTTTTTGTTCACTATTATCAAAATATGCCATATGGTATCCCAAAGCTATAAATTTATAGCGTATGCTGCCATTTTTATATTGAAAAGCATTGTTTATTATTTCTTTTAGACGATTTTTCAATTTCATATTGGGAATGGCGGTATACAGGTTTTTAAAAGTTCAAAGGTTTGATAGAACTAATTTCAGAGAAAGGTCGAGATTTAAAAATATCAAGAAGTTCTTTAAAGTTTTTTTAAAATCCACATAGGGTTAATACCACTACGTGAGTAAACAGGTTCGCAGTTTTTCTGAAAACCCTCTTTCACTGCGGCCAGATATTTGTCAATCTGATGGACAATTTCTTTGGAGATTATGCAGATGAGACGGTAATGTACCGTTGTTTGTAAGGAATTTTGCGAAGCTTAGGTACAAACACGGTACGTCATCAGATTTGCTGTTCGATCTAATGTTAATTGAAACCATGAAGGACTTATGATTCGCTAATACCTCATCCTTGTCAAATGATATGTTTTTATATATGGGAATATCTAAATGCCCATTTACAAGACACTCATAGAAGTACGATTTACATACAAAAACAATTTTATTTGAAGCTTTGTACACAGGAACAACACCTTATTTATCGTGAAGAGATAATAGACATTTCAGAATTTTTTGTCTCTAACTTTAGTGCAATATATGGAATTTCATATAAATAAAATGATTAGTTACAAATTGAATGGTGTTCAGGTTGTCCATTAGAAATACTGAACAGTTTACCACTTTTACTAATTTCCATATATGACATATTTCTATATTTATATTCTTAGTTAAGATATCAATGTTGTTCACATGTTCTTTTGAAGAGAAATGTCTTTTGTTTGATCACTCTCTTTTTTTGGAAAGTGTTGAATCAGGCTCATGACTAGATTGCTGAATTTGATAGCTATTACTGAATCTAAGGAAAACCTCAATTTTACTTCGACAAGCTTTTTATGTTTGACTACATTGCTTTCTATTGCTAAGGAACATAGAAGTTCAACCTTGTGTTTGACCCATGGGATCTTTTATAATGACATTGTGGACCAATGACCTTCACAAAGGTCACAAGGTCAAAAGTCAAGCTCATGTCCCTAATAGCGAATGTGTTGTTTTTTTGTCATATTTTAACGGTTTTATGTGTGTTTGAGAGCTTTTCAATGCATTCTACGCCTATTGGAACATGTATTTTAAATTACGAAAGGGAAAGACCTCTCAATTGTTCAAGAACAATTGACATTTTAATTATTATTATTATTATTATTATTCTTTCCGCCAAACTTGAACGACATTTCCCAAAAAAAGTATGCGACATGTTGAAATGATATTAGGTATCAAGTATCGGTTGACCAAAAGCTATCTTGTGCTTAGTGCACCACGCCTTAATATTTCCTTTATAGCGGTTATCTCCCCTTACACCGAAAGCCTTGTTATCATTAAAACACCTTAACCATAATAGGTAGAAAAAAAAAACGAAGGGTTGAATTTGCTCAGGACCAGACCCTGGTTCTTCATTACATTTGGATCGAAAAGTTTCAACGACTCATTGGTAGGGTTATGCCCCTTTGAAAATTAACCAATGTCGGTTGACCACTGAAAATCAGAAACCGTAAGTCGTAACCACCTAGGATCTTTACCAATGATCATCAATTCATGTGACTATTAAAAATGGTCAAAGGTCAAAATCATGACAAAGATTTTGACCTTAGCTTTGTTATCGGGATTACTCAATAACCGTAAAAGATGGCTGACAAAATGTAATGGAGAAAATGTGTGTCTGGGTCCGAAATGAATTTTTTTTGCTTATATCTCAAACGAGGTAAGAGATAGAAAGAAACTTTGAATTGCAAAAATGTTCAGCACAATATGATCTACAAAGTTATGTCAAGGTCAGATGTCAAGGTCCCTAGCAACGACATAAAAAAACCTTAGCAACCATATATTTTTGAACTTAGAAGGCTATAAATAATATAAATATGACATTTTTAATACTGGAAATATCATTTTTGTCCCTAGCAATGACATATAAGTCTTTATCAACTACTTATTTTTTCAACTTT